ACGAAAGAGCCAGCAACAACAACAACTTGCGAAAGATGTGGCTATTATTGATCTAGCACAAGAAACCGTAGTAAGTCAGTTAGCCAAGCGGTTAGGACAAGAAATTGACAGCCTCGTTCAATACGTTGAGCCACGTAACAATGTGCACAAAGATATAAAGAGAATGTGCAACATAATTAAAAAGGCGCACACAAATCTCATCATGCACATAGAGATGAGTGAGTACAAAACCAAGTCAAACATCACCTTGGTACAGCAACGAGAAACGCCGTTGACAGCAAAACGAGACGCAACATCGGTATCGGCGAAAAGGACAAGATCCAAAATGAGTCCAAAAAAGCCTACAGAAGAAGCAACCAAATCACCTGATACTAAAAAGCGCAAATCAGACGCTGTGGCCGAAAGGCTGAACCAACCAGTAGAAGAATGGACGAAAGTACAACCAAAAAAGAAGGCATCCAATATAAAAAAGGGTAAATCAATAAGACCGCGAGCCGATGCCATCATCATTGAAAAAATGGAAAAAGAGATGTCATACGCTGAAATTCTGCGAACAGTGAAATCAAATGAACAACTAAAAAACCTAGGCAACAAGGTTAAAACCCTGCGCCGTACACAAAAAGGAGACCTGCTTATCGAGCTGAAAAAGAGCGAAAAAGCAGCAGCAAATGAATGTTGTGCCGCTATTGAAAAGGTTCTTGAAAACGTAGCCAAGGTGAATCTCCGGTCGCACAATGTAACCATCCAATGCAGAGGGCTTATTAAAGATCTGAACACTGATGACGAGTTATTCGACGCAATTGAAATGCAAGCAAAAGTGAAAAGACCTGATAAATGCACAATCAAAAGTAGGCGCAAAACGTACGGAGGGACAGAGTCCACATATCTAATGCTGCCAGCGGAAGATGCAAAAAAAGTACTGGCGCGCGGACATTTAATTGTCGGTTGGACTCGCTGTCAAGTTACAGAAGTTACTACACCACAAAGGTGTTTCAGATGCTGGGCATACGATCATTTAGCGCTCAAATGCAAAGGACCCGATCGCACAAATATCTGCAGACGATGCGGCAATGAAGGACACCGTGCAGCAAATTGCAATGATGCAGAAAAATGTGTCCTCTGCGAAGGTGCACATACAGCTGGTAGCGGAAAATGTCCACGATACAAAGAAGCATTACAAAAAATCAAGGCATGAAGATACTACAATTAAACATCAACCATTGTAAAACTGCACAAAATTTACTGTGGCAAACTGTAGCAGAGAACAATATTGACATGGTCTTACTTTCGGAACCGTACGAAGATATACAGTCACATTACTGGATTACAGATTCAGAGAAACAAGCGGCGATCTGGGTGACAAATAACAAAGCTTTACAAAGCAAGATAACAGCTCCTGGCAGAGGTTACGTATGGGTGAAACAGAATGACGTGTACTATGTGAGCTGCTACGCACCACCAAGATGGTCAATTGATTATTTCACTCAAATGATGTGTTCATTAGAAAATGAGCTAAGAGGAAAGCGCCCTATAATAATTGCTGGTGATTTTAATGCATGGTCACGAACATGGGGCAGCCGGTACACAGATAAACGAGGAAAGATAGTTGAAGAAACCTTCGCTGCCATGAATCTGGTTTTGCTGAATACACCTGGCGTATACACGTTCGCTTGTATTAGAGGACATTCGATAATAGATTTAGCCTTTTCCGATAGCACCACGGCAAACCGCACAAGATGGAGAGTAGATGAGTCAATATACACACACAGTGACCATCAAGCAATAATGCTCGACACAAGCAAAACAAGATCGCACACACAATACAACTTAATCGCGCAAAGGAAATGGAAGAGGTCAGTCTTTGATGCCGAAGCTTTCGATGTTATGTGGCAAGATGTGGAAATCGAAATCACTACTGCAGAAGAAATGGCAACACAACTGGCGAACCAAATAAACATCGCATGTGATGCATCGATGCCCAGATGCAGATACAATGGCAAAAGACAACCCGCATATTGGTGGACAGATCAAATAGCCAGCCTGCGTAGAGCGTGCATAAAAGCAAGAAGAAGAGCGCAACGAGCAAGACGACGGCCAGATTTTGAAGAGCAGTACACCGAGTTTTGTACACGAAAACGCGACCTTAAACGAGCAATCCAGCAAAGTAAAGTCCGTTGTTTTACGCAACTACGTGATAGTACCGATGTCGATCCTTGGGGATTGGCTTATAAAACAGTAATGCGAAAGGTAAAAGGCCAGAGAGCCCCTCAACCAACTTGCCCTATCCTGCTAGAGCAAATCGTGCTTGCACTCTTCCCTCCACAAGAGGAAGTGATAATGCAAGAGTACGCGCAAATCGAGCAGGACAGTATACTGACAATAACAGCAGAGGAAGTGATCAACACGCTGTGCCGTATACACGACAATAAAGCCTCGGGGCCAGATGGGGTTCCCAATGTCGCTTTCAAAGCAGCGGTACGAAAAAACCCACAACTGTTCGCTAATATATATAATGCTTGCTTAAGAGAAGGAGTCTTCCCATCACAATGGAAACTGCAACGCTTAGTACTTCTTCTTAAACCAGGGAAGTTTCCTGATCAACCTTCGTCATATAGACCTCTGTGTATGCTGGACACAGCGGGAAAGGTCTTAGAACGTTTAATCTGTGATCGACTTCAAGAATACCTTGAAAACAACAACGGCCTGTCTGATATGCAGTATGGTTTTCGAAAAGCGAGATCAACAGTAGACGCCATCAGAAAAGTAACGTCCATAGCGCAAGTTGCATGCAGCGGCGGTTACACCCGAATGAAATACTGCGCAGTTATTACACTGGACGTGAGAAATGCCTTTAACTCGGCAAAGTGGCACAATATTCTGTCGGCTTTAGAAAGATACTGTGTTCCGGACTACCTTCTACGCATAATCAGTAGCTATTTCAGCGAGCGAACATTGCAGTACCAGACAGATAGAGGCATGAAATGCTATAAAATTACAGGTGGTGTACCACAAGGGTCAGTCCTGGGTCCAACGCTATGGAATGCTATGTACGATGGCGTGCTACAACTCCAGCTTCCCGATAAAGCGACAATCGTTGGATATGCGGATGATATTGCACTGGTGGTAGTAGACAAGCGCCTTGATGTATTAGAAGCCAAATGCAATGATGCTGCGGCGAGAGTGCAACACTGGCTTAATAAAGCCGGACTTGAACTAGCAGCACAAAAAACGGAATTAGTACTGGTTAGTGGCCGTAGAAAAAAGGAAGAAATGACCCTGTGCATTGGCGAGTGCGAAATAAAATCACAAGAGGCAATAAGATACTTGGGCGTCTTGATTGACTCGAGGCTTAGCTACAAGCAACATCTCTTAGCAGTGAGTGACAAGGCTGAGAAGGTTAATGGCGCATTGGCAAGAATACTTCCAAACATAGGTGGTCCACAAGGCGAAAGACGGCGGCTATTATCATTGGTAACAGATTCGATAATACTATACTCGGCTCCAATATGGGCAAATGCTACAAATAGCAACATCCAGCACGTTGCAAGGGCTCATCGACGCAGCGCACTACGAGTAGCGTGCGCATACCGCACAGTATCCGATGACGCAATCTGTGTTATCGCCGGAAAGATTCCAGTAACTATACGTGCAAACGAGTTAGGCCGGCTGTATCACACGCAAGGTGTAAAGCCATCTCAAGAAGAAAGAACTATTGAACGTGCGCAATCATTGCGAGAATGGCAGCAAAGATGGGAAGACTCCCTCAATGGCCGATGGACCTATGCATTAATCCCAAACATCGAGGTATGGTTCACAAGACCCCATGGAGAGCTGGAGTACCATCTCACTCAGATACTAAGCGGACATGGTTGCTTTTTGCATTATCTATACAGATTCAATTTGGCCGACAGCCCTATCTGTCCAAGTTGTCCGAATGAAGTAGAAAGTGCAGAGCATGTTGCCTTCAGCTGCACAAGATTTATTGAAGAACGCCAAATACTACAAGAAACCATAGGACGACCACCAACAATCGAAAATCTAGTAAGCGAAATGTGTTCGTCGAATGAAAAATGGAATGCAGTTAAATGGTTTGCTAACACAATAATACGCAAATTACAAGATGCAGAAAGAGAGCGTAAAGCCCTTCAGCAACAACAACGAGAGAGTCATCCACAACCTCAAGTACCAGACCTGCAAAACACAGCTATGGACAACAACAGCAGCGGCAGTCAATAACACTAGCAATACAGACGTAAGACTGACTTACAAAACTATAGGTGACGGAAGTAAAATTCCAAATTAGTGGACAGAACAGCGTTTCGCTGCACTGAAGAACGAATAAGACTAACGAAGTATGAGCTTCACGCTCAACTTTAAGTATAGGGTGAGCTTAATGCTCAATACGGCCTTCTGATGTTATACTTTACGGTGATTCCAGAAGGGTGACCCGTACGGACGAGAGGAGTTTTTAGTGGGTTAACAAAGTTTTCACATAACAAAGTTAAGACTTCTTATCGTATTAACTTAACATTTATATTTTTTTCTTGCTGATTAAGGTCAGTAGTTTAAGTAAATACATAAATAAGAAAAATTTATTCTCACATATAAATGTTATTTATGTCAATTGAATAAAGCCTGTTATGGATCATGATGGCATTGACGAAGAGGATATATGTTATGTTTTAAAAGTGCTGTTATAATGCACATAGAAGAAAAAACAAATATTTTTAGGTAAGCAAATACAAATTCTGAGGATTGAGCAGTTAATAAACATTAATTGTTTTTCAGATTACAGGATATTTATTAGTATAAAATTGTTATATTTTAGTTTGGGAAGAAAATAATTTATTGCATTTCCATTATAAGTTCTACAGATTATTTTACCTAAACCTTAAAAAACTGGGTATTATTTTATATTAGTAATATAAAATCTGTTATACAAAAATTTTTTATGAAAATAATGTGTAAATAAATATTAATTAAATAAACGACCTCAGCCCAGTAATAATTCAAAATTTATTAGCAATGTTTAAACATTATAAGAAAAGATTAGTACTAACAATTATTTCATAATAGTAAAATAATTGATAATTATTTGTTTTATATAGTGTTTTATAATTAAATTTAAATTTTATTCTTTTTTATAGATTTTGTTTTATTTATTTATAAATTTTATTTTATTTATTTATAAATTTTATTAAAGCTTAGTATCCACAATTATTAGATAATAATGTAATAATTAATAATTTTTCGTTTTATATAGTCTTTTTTATTTAAATATAAATTTTATTCTATTTTATAGATTTTAGTTTAATATTTTATTTATTTTATTTTATTTATTTATAAATTTTATTAAAGCTTAGTACTCACAATTATTAGATAATGTGATCATTTTTAATTTAATTTTATATTAAATTAATTTAATTTTATATTAAATTAATTTAATTTTTGTTTTATATTTTGTTTAAATATAAATTTTATCCTATTTTATAAATGTTATTTTGTTTATTTATAAATTTTATTAAAGCTTAGTACTAACAATTATTTGATATTTGATAAATTTTATTTTATTTATTTATAATTTATTTATTTTATTTCCATATTTATATATTTTATATATATATTTATATTTTTATTTATTTTATGTTCTTATTATTTTTTTATTTTATTTTATTTTATTTATTTAGAAATTTTATTAAAGCTTAGTACTAACAATTATTTGATAATTTGTGTTATATGGTTTATATTTATATTATTCAAATATAAATTTTGTTCTTTTTTATAAATCTTATTTTGTTTATTTATGAATTTTATTTTATTTATTTATAAATTTTATTTTATTTATTTACAATTTATTTATTTTATTTCTATATTTATATATTTTATATATATATTTATATTTTTATTTATTTTATGTTTTTATTATTTTTTTATTTTATTTTATTTTATTTATTTAGAAATTTTTTTAAAGCTTAGTACTAACAATTATTTGATAATTTAGTTTATATGGTCTATATTATTCAAATTAAATTTTATTCCCACAAGAACTCTTAAAAAAATTAGACCATCTATTATTTTTATTTTTTCCAAAAACAGCATAACAAAAATAAAATAAAAATACTTAAAACCAATAAAAAAAATCTCAATTTAGGAAACAATAGTGAACTGCGCCAACAATCAGCAATATCACAGCGGGAAATCTCCGAAATGCAACTAAATACCTCGCAAGGGAAAAAGTTGAGATCAGCAGTTTTTTCCCAATTTGATCTGCAAGAAAACAATAACTTAATTTAGTTGTTCACAACGAAGCTGTTTTGTATGGCACAATGTTGGTCAGCCAAAAACCTATGTTAACCACTTTACCTGGTGGTATGTCAGCGATTTTCAAGAGCAGCAGACGACACGTTTGCATTGAACTAGCACAGTATGTCCACCATCGGGTCCAGTCTGAGCGGCATCGGTATCCGTAGTTGCCTGCCGCACCAACAAAAACAAATAAAACTTGGCAGTCGACTCCAAGCGCCAATTACACAAATGTAATACTGCATAGGCAGTACCACCGACTGCACTGAAATCTCCTATGCAGATACATGGCGATTACCATTTGACAAAGATTGGAACTGCTGATAGCGCTTTTAAGCATACGTAGCTGTGGCTGTGGCTGTGGCTGCAGCGCTTGTGATTGTGATTTTACTTGCAAAATATCAGTTAAAGCCGTGGGCGCCAATAATTCAAGCCAAGCAATTAAATTTAAACTCCAGTAGTTCTACACTGTGCCATTCGTTTTGTTCCTTTTTTCCTTAAGTGTAGAGTGCGCTGAAAAGTGTACAAAATATGCATAATGATGTTGAAACCGAATTCCTGACTATTTCCAGTGATACCGGGTATTCTGTTCATAGGGGAATTGTGTTAACAAATAACTTTCACATACCCGAAGTGTACGTTCATATTTGGTATGCACTTAATTTCTCTATGCCTCGTTAGTTATCTTCGAAACTAGACTATATCTCACATCATTGTTGTCAGAAGATTAACTGCGATCGACACGGTACGCATCAGTTATAAGTACTGTCATAATAAAATATTTCCTTTGAGGGCATTTTTTACACTAGACTAAGGTTTCCATGGTTACCAATTTCTTGCAATAAAATAATTTAATCTATTAACTTGATTGATGTTGATTGATGCTTTCAAGTTAAGATTGTCATGATTTTATTATTTGTCTCTTTTTTGTTAGAAATATTAAATTCATTAGCTAATGACTTTTTGAGGTTCGAATCTATCTTTTCATTATAAAGACTAATAAAATATTTGGGTACTGAACTACATCATTCAACTGCAATCACAGAATAAATTTCATCAAAACTCTTTGTGAGAACTTGCAAATGATACCTTCCTTATTAACGATTTTTTGTTAAGAGTTAAGAGAAATTAACTCTTATTGACAGATTGATCACAAAAATAGTAATTATAATCCAAAATGCTTGAACGAGGTGCTGGTGAGGTAATAGGCAAGTAGACCTGTATTGAAACTGGATAGACAGTAGGCACTGACGACGTAGGACGAAATAGGTCGGACAATAGGGAGTCATGATAAAAATAGGTAGTTGAGTCACATCACAATTCATAAGTAGTTTTAGAACAGGTGCACTCAAATCGACTGACAGGACAGAAATTTGTTTAGGAGTAATAGAGAACAATCTATATAGGTAAATAGTTAATGGCACAATTTTTCTTCTTTTGTTTGATGTCAGCCGTGGCAACGAATTGCCATGAACCCCATGTAAAACTGGCCAGCATACCGCATCTGTCACAGTGCCATGCTAGGCATCTAGGACCACTTCAACACCGTCAATGCCAACATAGTAAATGGCAGTAATAATTAAAAATTTTAATAAAGAAGATACTAAAGTTAGAATAAATAATTTCTCTGGGGGCTTAAATATTGGAAAAAGGAACAGATAGATCGACTTCTAAGCTAAACAGTCAATCATATTAAAATGATAATTGATCTTAAATCCTTGGAATCAGTTATCTAAATATATGTTGATCTCAGTGGCACATTTGATAAAGACTATATGTTAGATATTTATATGTTAAAAGTCGGTTGGTTCGGATGATAAATAGCTGTATTCAATGTATGTATTGCTTTTTCAAATATTGGGAATCTGAAAAAAACGGTTAAGTATGAACTTTAAAGTTATGAAGTTAAAAATAGAATCCTTAACAAAAGAAATTTATTGTGTTTATAGTATATACCTTCTGAATGAGCTTAGTTAAAGGGTTATGATAATGATGATGACGATGATGATTGTTGAAAAAGCGAGCTAATATCAGAAGCATAATAAAAATCCTTTAAAGTTGTGATTTAAATATAGTGACAGCGATGCAATTAAAGTATTATTAAAATGTGTTAGATATACAATGCTTACTGAAGGGCAGACGATCTTTATAACTTATTGAGTCCCCTGCAGTTGTTTTGTAAAGCTGATGACTCTTTATTCGATACAGTTTACTTAAACCTATATGTCAGAGCTATGGTCATCAAAAATTGGGCATTTTGTTTGCCCAAATTGTTAATCGATTTTGTTCAATATAATTAATTCAATATAACCAATTTCATTATTGCTTATAATAATATATAATAATTATGTTATAATTATACAACTAATATTTTACTTATTATTTTTCTATTTCGATTGATCGACTAAATAAATAATTTCATAAGAAGATAACTCTGATTTAGATCATATGATTTTATTAAACTTAGCTTTGCTCTCAAACTATTATCTTAGCCTATCTCAACAAATTAAATAGATAATTTAATAACGTATTGTGTATATATATAATATATTTTAGCTTTAATAAACGATTACAAAGACTTCTGTCAATAGTTCAATTAAAATTAGTTAATGTTTTTTTATAAACAATCACAACAATTCTAAAAATTTTGATAACAATTTTATAGCAAACGATATTTGATTGCTCTTAACATTGGGTATTTGTCGCCAGTGCACTGTCCACGAAAATCATCCATGGTTAGATCGAATAATGCAACACCGCCAAGATTCTTTACCTTAACATAACCGGCCTTATTAGATGCTGTATCGGGATCTTCATAACTGACCCACATACCATTCTCACCATTGTCGGCTGGTCGAAAAGCATAAGTGCCATAACGTTTTGTTGGATCGGAAATACGACGTATGGGTGCATCAGCCCCTTTAAGATTAATATTGCCTGGATTTGGTAGCTTAATGCAGATTTCCGCCCAATTTAATAAACCCGGAGTTTTTGTTTGTGGGCCAGCAGGAGCAGCACCTTCTGTTGCTGGCACAACAGGTAAACCCGTGGTGCCTGAATCGGTAGTCATTTTCCATGCACGTCCATAGCTTGGTACACCTAACACAATTTTATTGGGTGGCACACGTTGCAAAAGCCAATTCTCGACTTGGAAATTTATGTTTAGATGTGGTAAGCGATTCTGGTCATATAATTCGTATAATGGTGCTGTGAAATCTGCTTCTTCAGGATTGCGTTCAGGTGTCAAAAAATCAAAAGCCGCCAAGTTAACATAATCCAAATTATTCACTAAAGCGGGAGCATTGTAGTACCCTAGCAAATTAAAAAAGATCATTATTTATTTATTGTAGCATGTGGTATATTAGTGCATTATATCAGAAATAAAAAATGTTGCATTAATTAAAATATTTCAAATTAAAACTATTGGATTGATAATAAATATGGCATGCAAGTTAATAATTATTTTAAACAAATGCAATTAATTTAAAAAATGCTTAACTGAAAATTTAATTAATGCTTAACTAAGATTTATCAATGTTCGTGTATATGTGGACATAGTGTCCTCCTGATTTCTATTATCTATGCATTTTGTTGTGGCACTGCTGAAAAGTTTCGATACGTTATAAGAACGTGTTTATATATATGTGTTCAACTAGCACGATTTGCCTGCTTTGAACGTGCTAGTTATTTCACTTAGATTGCCTTTACTTTCTGCGTATATAATTATATGTAATTTTGAAACTGCATTCGAAATATATTTTAGATATATATTAGAGAGTATTTGGCAATACTCGAAACAGCTGTATGATCAGCCAAAAATTCAATTAATTAAAATAATATAAAAAAATAAATTTTTGTTGTTGTATTTCACTACTGTTCGAAAAAAACCTCTTTTAGAGATTACTGAATAATGTCATTTACAAAAAAATTTGTTGACTTAGAAGTCATACAAAAAAGTTCTTGTGATATTCGATTTTATCCATTTGATAATATATCAAATTATATTCCTACAATAAATATTGTATGTATAATACACTGAACAGTGTGTTCCTATAAAAGTACCGCATCATGTATCTTATTTATCTCAATGCAATAGTAGGTAGTGTTACTACTTATTATTTAGATAATAAACAAAACTAAAATATAATTATTTAAAACTTATAATTAATAATTTAAAAAATATACTTACAGCTGGAGTTAACGTTTGGAAGCACAGTCAATGTAAGCATCAAATCATGTGGACGGAAAGCAGTTTTCAGACTCTCTACTAAATCGGTGAATTGTTCTTTGTGCTCATCAGACTTCTTGTCAACCACAAAATCGCCGGTAAAGAACTTCTTGAAGCTCTTCCAAGCCATGCCAACATCGGAGTGCACTTTACGTGGCTTATTACGTGGTAATTGGAATGCCAAATCCAAACCATCAAAATTATAACTTCTCAAAAGATCGCGAGCTGACTCAATGAATACGGTTTGCTTCAATCGTCCAGCTTCAAGCAACTCAAGATATTTGTCTGGATTTTCCACATCCTTATCACCACCAACGCTCAAAAGGAATTTAATATGTGGATATTTCTCTTTGAGTGAGGTTATGGTTGCAAAATGACGTTTCTGAATGTCGAGATTATTATTCAAGCTTGTCAATTGAAATGTTTCCGGCTTGATACCAGCATAACCGTATACAAGATGCGTACAAAACTGTAGTGCGACTTCTAAGTCGGGTATTGAATATTGTGAAGGTCCTGTAATAATTGTATAAAGAAAGAGATATTAATTAATTAATTGTTGACTAGAGGTGAAGCTGAAATTTCTGTTTACAACCATTGCGTTCGTAGGCCTTCGAGTCGTAATAGCAAATCATGTTTTGAGTTGAGCCATAAACAAGTTTTAAGCCCGTCAACAAAACGCCAAGACAAAATAAAAATTTGTTCATTTTGTGTACAACAGAACTGAACGAATTTCAAACCAAAACTAACACGACAGATCAATTTTCATACTACAAAACACCTATCAGAAGAGCTTATCAGTGTTTATATATTAACCTCTTGTACCCACGACGAGATTAGCTAAAATAGAAATACGCTCAAAATTGAGTGCTAACAAAAAATACTTAGAAAGGAAATTTTTAAAATAAAAACAAATTGAATTCAATGGAAAAATATTTGGTATTTTTATTTACATAAAATTAGATTTAATTATAAAATATTGTAGTTTACAATTTGTATTTGATGGCACGTAAGATGGGATACTTATCGCCAGAGCATAGGCCGCGGAAATCATCATAGCTCAAATCAAACAATGACACGCCACCCAAATTCATTGCATTGGCATAACTTGCTTTGTTGGATGCAGTTTCAGGGTCCTCATAACTTACCCAAATACCGTGTTCACCATTAGCATCAGCTGCTCGGAAAGCATAATTGCCATGTCGTCTCGTGTTTTCAGGATGCTTCTCCAGACGCAACGGCGCATCAGCACCGTGTAAGTAAAGATTTCCAGCGTTGGGTAACTTAGAGCAAATTTCGGGCCAACTGAGGAGACCGGGAATTTGACTTTGCATTCCAGGTGCTGCAGCACCTTCAGTTTTTGATACAACAGGTACACCACTTGTACCAGAATCTGTGCTCAATTTCCAAGCACGACCATAGCTAGCAACACCGATAAAAATTTTCTGTGACGGACATTGATGTGACAACCAATAATCAACTTGATAATCAATATTGTAGTGAGGTAAACGGTTTTGCTCGTTCAAAGGATAGATTGGTGCTGTGTAATCCGCTTCTTCAGGGTTCCGATCTGGTGTAAGAAAATCAAATGCTGCCAAATTCACCCAATCCACTTGACCGGAAATCGCAGGCACATCATAGTACCCTAGAGAAAAAAAATTAAAAAAAATTTAAGTATTTACGAATAGTTTAGGAAACAAGACTTACAGGTTGAGTTAACATTAGGCAAAACCGTTAAAGACAAAAGCAAATTGTCTTGTCTCAGAGAGTTATGTAAATCTCGTACAAATGCTGTGAACTGTTCCTTATGCATATCAGCCTGAGGATCTACTATGAAATCGCCAGTAAATATTTTTTTAAATTTTTTCCACACCATGCCGACATCTGAATGCACTTTTCTTGCTTTGTTCTTGGGAAATTGGAATGCCAAATCAAGACCATCGAATCCATAGCTACGCAACAATGTGTGCGCTGAATTTATGAAGATGGCTTGTTTAGCTTTGTCACTTTCAAGCAGCTCAATGTACTTGTTTGGATGATTGGCATCATTATCTTTATCTCCACCAACACTGAGTAAAACTTTTAGGTGACTATGTTTCTTCTTAAGAGCAGTTATTTCCGAAAACTGATGCTTTCCTATATCCAAGCCCTCATTTAAACTGAATATCTGGTAGTTGTTCGGATTAATGCCGGCGTAGCCATACACCAAGTACGAGCAAAACTGCAAGGCAATTTCCAGATCTGGATTAAGTAGTTTGCCCAAACCTGTTAGCGAGTAATATTTAATTTTATTTGATTTTTGTACTTCTTACAATGACTACTCTTCAACGACACAACGACAACGACTACGACAACGACAACACATAAACGACACAAAACATATGACAAGTGACAAATAATAAAAGTGAACATGCCAACAGTACTGAACTACACTTAAAATTAAATACAACACAGAATTTTAATTATTTTTATTATTTAATTTATCCATTAAATCAGTGAAGGCAGCAATTATAATTGCTCGATTCGTGTACACAGCAGAACACTTATTTGCCAAATGAAGCAACGGTCATCTCGTCAATCAGCCGGTCTCGCGGCGCTGTCATACCAGCCACTGGTATCACACAGTAGCTGGCATTATAATCTGACAGATAGCGATACAGACACTTAAGCTAAATTAAACCTGAAAAGCGTTTGCGTTTGCGTTTGCAACGTGTACTGGTTTCTATGACTCTGAGTCACATTCGTAAATTATATGGTTCACTTGTGGCTTCGAGCCACTGGGTAATGTATTAATAGACCTGATTTCATTGCAGTCGATGCTATTAATATTTATATATGCTATTTTATTATGCAAACAATTAATTGCTTCTTGATAATTTGCACTCGAAAACAAACAATTTCCTTGGAAATTTGGTGTTTGTAATTCATTTCACTTTTCAATGTGAATTTTATTTTCTATAGGAATAAATGCGAGAAACTGAGATTATTTTTTTTTTAATAAATAATTTATGCTATGCTTTCATCCATTTTAGAAATCACGCTCCTAACTTTACTATTCTTGCTACGTGATAAGCAAACGACCTTTTCATCACAGACACTTCTATCTAGAATTGAATAGATAATTACGAATTTGTACTAAATTTCATAGTAAAAATATTTGATGAAATAAGAATATATATATAATATACAAAATAAACGTAAATATTTAATAATTTAAACTAATCAGTAATATTATTGTAATATGTTAATTAAAATATGTGTGTGAACACCGAATTATTATAGTTCTCACTAATTTTTTATTTAAAAAGTCAATAATTATTAATCCTGTGCTAAGGAAACTTATTATTTTCATATATATATATATATATATATATATATATATATATATATATAGATATATATTATTTGTTAAATAATTTATTTTTTATTTTTATAAATTTTATTTTTATACTATGTTATTTTGCATTACCTGTTTGTCTTAAATGCATGGGTCAGTAACCATGTAATCTTAAAGGAAACGTAATAAAGTTAATCAAACTAAATGAACCATATATTTTTTAATTGGAAAGATTTCATTTTTCAACTGAAAGGAATTTTAAATAATTGTTGGATTAATAAAATCCTGAAATGACATATCCTACGGGATATGTTGTGGAAATCGCCGTGTAAAACTGATATAAAATAATATTATTTAGTAAATATTCTAAATACTCTTAAGTGATGCTTAAGTGGTAGTATATTTTTTTAAGTAGAGGGTTTATATTAAAAAAGGAGGAATAGTCTCTTGCAGAGGAATAGCCAACAATTTCATAAAGCTTTAAAGAATGTCTGCAAGTTTATAAAAAGCAGACTCTCAATTAAATAATTATGTTGTTAATAAGTAAGAAATTATATTAATTACAAATTCTAAATTTTAATTAAAAATTTTTAAACTAGAGATTTTATTTCGATCAAAATTATCTGAGATAGGATATTATTATAATGAAAAATATTTTAAATTAAACACATAAGAATATTATTATTAAGTAAAGAGCTCAAAAACAAAGCTTGTTTGTAAAAGAATTTCCTTGTTAAATAATTTCAACAAAACATATTCTGATAGATTTATTAGTATAAGAGGACTAAACTCTTCGCAAAATGATTCCAATTGAAAAAACGATTATAAGGTCAACATAATTGACTAACGATTGAATAAACGATTGAATAATATTGTCACACGTTAACCCTTTTAAATGAAAAGCCATCGTCAAGAGTGTACAGATGGTTTATCGATTCGATAACAATCCTAAGAACTTGTTCTCCTTCTATTTTTTATTAATACATAATTTCATAAAATTATTTTCTTAATAAGAAAAAAACTAATTTATTTCTATCGTTCGTATATGCCACGAAATTTAAAAATGTACGTCTCGTAAAAAAATACCCTTTGTTTAGTATATATTTATAGCCCGCTTTCTTGAGAAATTTGTTTTACGAAATATTTTTTAATATTATATCATCGTAGAGTCAAACCTCATTAAAAATCTTCATTTTAGTTAATCTAATGGAGATAAGTATATAACACATATTTTAGTCATTTAAATCATATAATGTAGAGCTGTTATTACTGAGCAGTACATTATAGAACAGTTTATACCTTATTCCAACATTAACTTACGACTAGTCAGCTGATTGATTTTGTCTACGTGGAGCATACCTAATAGATTGCTTTTCCACACAAACTATTATTTCTAAGGATGACAAAGTTATATTATAGATGATATAAATCCAAATGTATACGCAGAGAGTACTGTATTTGTATAAATGTTAATATAGTTATTATGGATTATTGAATCCAATGCTTATTAGTGGTAGAATTACGAGGCTTGATAACAACTTTAAGTTATCATAGAAGATATGACTAAAGTAAATTAAAATTTTAATTTTTTTAATAATAAATTTTCTGCTTAAATTTTTTTGCCAGATTCATAGAACTGTCGGACAGGTTTATTTTCACCTCATGGGAAAGTCGTTGCCTTGGCGTTGGTTGTTTACTGATCACATAGTCTATGTACGGAGCAAAGCTATTCCTTTGGTAACACGACGGGCCATTATTGAGCTCACGGACCATTATTTCAATTTTCTTGGTACACAAGGTCGCCACTCCGACCTAACTTAACCTAAGTTTTGTGCTTTAAAGTACTTTGACTTGTGTTTGTGTTAATATAATAACATTAAATTATTTGTGATTGTAAAAGATTATTGGGGAAATAATCTCTGACAAATTATTTTTCATATAGCATTTAGTTTGAAGACTTCGATCCATTATTAAAAAATTTGGAAAATGAAAAGACTAAATTCAAAGATGCGTTCATTATAAACTTATGCCAAGATTTAAAAGTCTTCATCAGAACTCGTCATTATAGTGATATATCTGACCGATAGTGTTGATAATTGTTGAAAGAAGAAAGTGACTTAATGGAATTAAGGGGTTGTGCTATGAATGTGTGTATATATGAAATAAATTATATTATTCAGTGTACAGTTTATACGAAGCCTTTTAAAGAGGGTTTGAATAAAAATTATTATTACCATTAAACAACTTGTTTGATATATCAAAGTCTTAAGCTTTCTGTAAAAGATTTTATTTAATTTTTATTAACCGAAAATTAATAATCAGTAATCTTTTTATTTAAGTCTTAATGTAGTTGCATTTATTTTGTATGGAATTAAATTCCGAAACGAGAACAAAAGTAGTTAGACGCGTTTTGAAATTATGGAGCTACTTTCTAATACAAAATAATATTAACAAAAGTTATTTATAAATAAATTAATTTTTTGGATCTCAATAGAAGCACCAAGAGGATATAATTAAATTTAAAAATTTATAAATAATAGCAAATTTATAAACAATACGAGTCCAAATTAGCAGATTGCATAGTATCGATATATAAATCTGAATCAATTGATTCTTTCTTATAAAATGTTTATAGCATTAATAAATGTTTAAATTTATATTTTCAAAAATTATCTGAATTCGAAACGGATATGATAGGTACTGTCATATTCGAGTAAAGTCCCTGGTAATTATATATAATATTTGTTTAAATACAACTTCATAGAATAATATTAAAAGTTAAAGAAACATAAATGAACTATTGATGCTTGAGGAAAAAAATATCAACCGATCCCTATTAAGTACAATATACATGCATGTCGAGCATTAGTCATATTCAGTACTAAGCAAAATTCTAGAACGAAATAGTTCTAGAAATAATAAAAAATTTTTTTCTTTAATGTTAGTTCACCCATATTCAATATTCTTTCAAAGTTTCTTACAGAGATGTTTTGAAGAAAAGAGACGAGAAGAGGATATCTTTGCTTTGAAAAGGATGGATAGTTAGATATATTCAAATTATTAACCCAGTTTGTTTTACAAAGGTGATAAATAGTATTATATATGACTAGGTAGTTTTTTTATTTTTTATAAAATAACTAATACATAATCTCGCAAGAAACATAATTGTTTTAAGAATAAGTGTCCGGTAAATTATTATTTTATTATAGTTATAAATTATTTAAGCATTCGATTATATACAAAATAAGCATACAGTAAAATATGTTTATGTGGTACTATACCAATGATCTCGCGTTAATCTTTTGGTATAGTAAAAAAATTGAGTGGATGACGTTCCACATATGGAAAGGATTCTGTTATTTATGTTTATTAATATATATAAGTATATCACATACATACTAGTAAAAAATCGGACTGTAACTGGAAAGTATCAAAATATTTTCAAAACAGCTAACTGACCGTGATGTTTCACTTACTATGTAACAGTCATTTCGACTAATCAAACTACAACTATAATTTTAGAGTGTACTTTAACTATGTTTTGAAGAAAATTGGAAAGTGATAATAAAAAATATATTATAAACTTTCTCTAAAGTATCTCTAAAAATATCGATCATTTATAAAAATAGTTTGCTTAATCATAGGAACGTGATTAAGAGCTACGCATATCTCTGAAGGGACTTCAACTAAATATTTATATCCTAGGAATTAAATCGTTCATATGATTAAGGAAACTATATATTTTTATTATACGACCGATATTATTAGATTTACATTGAAAAAAGTTTATATTATATCCTTTAATATATTTTTTTATATTATTTTATGTATATTTATATATTTTATATATATTTTATATTTTTATATATATATATTATATTTTTGTATACATTTGTTTATATATATATTATATTATATATATTTTATTTATATTTTATTTTTAAATATTATATATTACTTTATATATTTTTTCTCTTATTTTCTTCTCCTTCTCTTCTTCAATTATAAAAAATAATTTATTGAAAAAGAGATAAAAAATTTTACATGGTATTTCGAACGGTAGCCATAGATACATTAAGTGCAAATAAACAGACCTTGTTTTTCAATAATGTGGATTTTCTCGTGTTAATTTATTTTAAAAACAAAGGAAATATTGGGTATGTAATTGTACTCGGACGGACAGACGATTTAGACACTTGGTGGGGAGATTTAGCAAGTAAGTCTAAATCTGTTTGTTAAAATTATAGACTGTAGAGTTTTTTTCTGTTTGTTTTGCTATTCTAAAAACAATTCACACATTTACTTATATTTATTTAAGATTTTTTCTTGAAGTTTTTAAAAAATGAACACTACACAATCGTCTCGATTCAAATAATCACAGACTGGTTTGGTTTCCAGCTTTAGTGAATTTTTAATCATAAACAAAACACAAAACTATCTGATACCGCGAAATCATTCAATTGTAGATACATTCTTAATAAATATAGTATAATCAATCAAAAATCAAAATTTTTTTTTTTAATATAACAATTCTTGTTTTTGTTCATTACCTTCACGTGTGAAACTCGATGAATCATAATAGCAAACCATTTTGGAGTTGGCCTGAGCTTGGCTTGCAAAGAGCCCCACCAGCAGTGCGAACGCAAGTATGAATAATTTCATTTTAATATATATTACTGCCCACAGAATTTCAATTAAATAAATTTAAATTAATTTCAATTTATTAAATAAAATGAACACGACTGATTCGTCTTCAACGTCTCGTACTGTTTGCTGCGAACGTTCAACTGTAACTGATTTAGTTTGTCAGCTCGGCTCTGAACAGAAATCGGTGGCCGTAATCCAATGGAGCTGAGCAGATAGATAGATAGATAGTATTTACGTTGAATTCGTAGAATTCGTATTCATGGGATTGTTGTGATTAGCTCTGAGTGCTTTTGTAAATTTGAGTCATTTCGAATTGTAGATGTCAATACGCACTGAGCACGGCAATGCGACCGGTCATTAACGCCAACTGAGGTTTGCTATTATTCCGCGGCTTATCTCAAATCAAAAATATTTACACTGTCGCTGACAACGAAACGATTAAGAGCAGCGTGATTTTTGTGGTTTACTTGGTTTTATTTTTGTATTCATTTTACAAAATTTTACTAAATTTATGAATAAATTTTAATATTTAAATAGAAACATTGCATAATAATCAATTCCATTAAAGGTCAAATAAAACTTTACATTTCCTTGAGAAATTTTGTTTAAATTTATATTATTTTTTTTATAATTTCATTATATTTAATTAGGTAAAAGTTGATCTTATGAATGTATTGCTAAACATATATTTTTTTTGCCTAAATTAATTAATCAATATATATACAAATGTATAACATTATTCTTAGCGAAATTACATACTATTTTTAATTGAGCGCACAAAAGGAAATTTGAATCCAGTGCACAGTCCACGAAAATCATCGAAGCCCACATCAAACAGTGCTATGCCTCCCAGACCCTTGTATTTAGCATAATTCGTTTTGACGACGGCGAAGTCTGGATCATCGAAACTTATCCACATACCGTGCTCACCTTGCTCATCGGCTGGCCTCACTGCATAATTTCCATAACGCTGTTCTAGATCCACGACTTTCATGACTGGTGCGTTGGGTCCACGATAATCTTTATTAACTGCATTTGGCAACATTGAACATATCTCCGGCCAGCTAAGTATGCCGGGAATTTGTGATTGTAAACCAGCATCAGCAGGTCCGACAGTTTCTGGCACAACGGGAGCACCTGTTAAACCGGAGTCGGGTGATAATTTCCATGCACGACCATAGCTTGCAATACCCAAGTTAAGTTTCTCTGGTGGGCAATGATTGTTAAGCCAATAGTTCACTTGAAACTCAATATTGTAATGTGGCAAACGATTTTGTTCGAGTGGTGGATAGATTGGTGCTGTATAGTCGGCTTCTTCAGGATTACGTATGGGTGTTAAAAAATCAAATGCTGCTAAATTGATTAGTTCAAAATTGTTTTGAATTTTTGGGACGTCAAAATACCCTAGAAAAAAGAAAGAAATTTAAGTGTTGATTATAGCATTAAATTCATTTGGGAATTATAGTCAACAAAATTGTACAAGCCTTTAAACTTATATTAATGTTCTACTCTAAAAAAAAATTTACAGTTTGTTAGAAAGTTCAGTACTTTCTAAAAAGAGAAGGTAAATATCTTTAATTAATAAATATTTAATAATTGTTATATATAATGTAAATATTATATATTATTATACAATAATAATAAAATAAGGTTTTTTTTTGGAATCAGTAAAAATTAAAGCAACATTGCATTTGAAAAAAAATATTAACACATGGTAAGATCAAAGTAACCCATATATTTGTTATATATGAAGACCTCAAGCTTTCAATAAAAAAATAAACTTTAAAAGCCTGTATAATCAGAACATAAACAATAAATTAGAGATAACTAGTAAAATAAGTCATTAGCATCATTAGAACTTCTACAACCTTTGGCTAACTATTTGTTTCTGTGTTTTGTATTGGTAATACTATTAAAGAAGTTTCTAATCAGAAGCTGTTGCAGAATCGCTTACTTAGAGTATTGGATCAAAATGAATCCTTTTTAATAAAATCCAGTGAAATTATTTTAAATTTATAGAGAAAATCGAGTTGTGAACTGTGACCAGGGGACTTCTACGTTGACGAACGCTTACAATGACATTTTCGAAAAATTTTTAACAAAAATTTTTATAAGACTAGAAGAAAATATATTCATTGATAAAGTTAAGTAAAAATATTAGAAGTATAGAATAAATGAACTTCAGAACTAAGGCCAGGGAACTCAACGTTGACTGACTTTAAACCATCAATTTTCTGATGACAGCAATATTAATCAATTATATCATATAGCTTTTTTTAGGAACGTTTGAGTAGTGATTGTATGATGCATATGACATGAACATTACTAACGTATGGGTCATTCCCTTGGGAAGGTGACTTCAACCCTGATTTGGTTTAAATTTTTCTGAGGTTATGAGAATTTGTTTTTGGACTTATTCTCAAATGCAAAATCTTCACCGGCTCTGTAAATGGTATAAATTTAACATAAAACCCTGTGTTACTAGATGTGTATCTAGATGTGTATCTAGTAACACGATCTTGACTAGTTTTATAGACAATTGAAACAATTATCTTTTGTAATTGTCACAAAATAAAAAGCAAAGTTTTTAGTATTCGGTACTAAATTTTGCCAAAATGTTAAGTTTTAATGTGTACAAGTCACGGAGACCTTTCTTATATCTTATAACATTGTCTATAAAATTTCCAATAAACTGATTAACAGCTTTTGATTATTATCAGATAAAGTAGAAAAGATATCAGTTCATAATTTTTAGATAGAGATTTCACCATAATTTCTTACATGGATACTATAGATAAATGTATTGGAACATCCATATCATTTTCTTCATTTTCAGCATCTTTTTGATATTTCTCGAGAAGTCTTTGTGCTCTTCAACAATTAATTGTTGGGAAATTGTATCGTACACAAATGCTGTCCGAAACATTTCGAATGTTTCACTTAATTTAATTTTACAAGAAAAATATTTGGATATTGCTATTTGTTCCACTTCAGTAAACACAACCAGCTGTTTGACAATATGTTACTAGCAGTGCAACCAATACACAAACAGAAATTGACTCGATAAAGGAAATACAATGCGCATAAATTTAAAAGTCTAGTTACTTTTTGATTGAACTCACTATTGTTATCATATATAAGTTAATGAGAGTATTCAAATTATTAAACAAATGTTTGATTAAGTTAGATAAATGCTCTATAATTTAAAAAAAGTCAAGTTATGCGCTTTTACTTCTCTGTTAATTACGATCTCAAAAAATATTCTTTGTCTTCAACTATATTTATTGCTTAACTTTGCTTATCTTGAAAGAATAAAAGAACTGTGAGAATCTCTCAACTACATGAAGTAGAGTAGAGTCTTCTATGTGTTATCTATACAAATTGATAACAACTTTTATATATAGTAATCGTATATAACGTACTTGACTTAAAGTAACTGCATTAATATATTTATATGTACAAGTATGTTTTGGAAAAATTTATGAAGGAAAAACAATCTTCAATCTTCAATCTTCAATCTCAGTATTAATAAATTTCATATTTGTTATTCTATTTTCGTTTTGAAGAAAAAATTTCATACTCACAAGTTGAGTTCACATTCGGAAGAACAGTCATCGATAAGGAAAGGTTATGCCTACGGAATGCAGTATTCAAATTTGAAACGAACTCCGTGTATTGTCGTTTATGCTCCTCAGCTTGTGTATCGACAATAAAATTGCCAGTAAAAAGCTTCTTAAATTTCTTCCAATATGTACCAAGAGTACCGTGTACTTTTCTTGGTTTATTTTTAGGAAATTGGAAAGATAAATCCAAACCATCAAAACCGTTTCTTTTTATGAGTTCAATTGAACTGTCTATGAAGGCTTGCTGATGTGCAGTATCACTTTCCAATAGTTCAACATATTTAAGCGGATGCTCTTCATCAATATCACTATCACCACCTATACTTAAATATATTTTCAGATGTGGGTATTTAGCTTTGAATAGAGTAATTTCGGCATAATGAAACATATCCAAGTCCACATTAAGACTGAAGATTTCTTTTGAATCTGGTTTAAGACCTGCATATCCGTAAATTAAATGCGTGCAGAACTGCAAGGCAACATCCAGTTGTCCGGGCAGTAGTTTAGCAAAACCTTTAAAGTAGAGAACACTTTCTGATTACAAGAAGAAAATAAATCTTAAGTACTATATTACCTGATCGTATATAACTAGCTGAATCATAAAAACATACTAAATTTTTCATATTCGCTGAATTGGCGTAATTCAAGCCGAGCAGTAAAGTCAACAAAATCAGTAACTTCATATTGGAAAATTGATCAGTTGTTGTTATTTTGATTGCAGAAATTTGATACAAAAGATGACAAAATAATGTATAAATCCGTTTATTGCAATTTTTAATGTTAACTTTGGCAGTAAGAATTTCAAACTAATTTCAAGTCAGAATATTATGGAAGCTCAGACTTTGCTTAGTCGCACTGATGACGACAGCTATTTTGTTTCGGTCTCATTGAGCTTATCACATCTAAATATTTGCTGATTACTGTTTGTTTCAAGTTTCAGTTTATTATTTCTATTATTATTTTCTAAATAATTTTATTATTTGATTCATGAAACTTGTTTTGATTTTTATTTGTTTTACTCAAACTCAATGTACGCATACTTTTTGTACTTTTTTCACACTCAAGCCATCTATGAACTCAGCAACAACTAGCCTGCAAATTATACAATGAAATCACATAACGAACCTTCGTAATGTCAAAATGACAAAAACAAAAAGAAAAAAACAATTTATTACGTCTTTGAAATAAATTACAAAATATAATACAATATATCAATAACAATATATAAAAAATTAAAAGTGATTTTTTTTTGAATTTAATATTAAAGATATGAGTCACTTTTGTTATCTTGTCGGTACGTAAAAGAAGCGCACATCACAATTAATTCTTGATATCTTAGTTTAATAAAGATATATGACGTTGTGTTATACTACAGATGCTATATTAAAGTGCATAAATAGGAACTTCATGCTATATACATTAAGACCGAAAAGTTTTCGGAAATTCTCATTTAAAATTCGCGCGCTGTATATTTTTCGATATTTTAAGTTTATGTAGTTTGGCAGCACTGTCCTTAATTACTATGCCAAAAATGAGCGCGATCTGTCAGACAGTTCGTTTACGGCAGCTGTTGAAACCAGTTCACCTCAGTAGTGCGTTGCGAAAAAAACAATGGAAAAAAATATTGAACAAAGAGTTTGCATCAAATTTTGTGTTTCGAACGAAATTTCGTGTGCAGAATCGTTGCGAATGCTACAAAAGGCTTATGGGGAATCAGTTTTATCGAAAACTCAAGTTTATGAGTGGTACAAAGCCTTTCAGGACGGTCGTACGACCGTCGAAGACATTTCGCAACGCACTACTGAGGTGAACTGGTTTCAACAGCTGCCGTAAACGAACTGTCTGACAGATCGCGCTCATTTTTGGCATAGTAATTAAGGACAGTGCTGCCAAACTACATAAACTTAAAATATCGAAAAATATACAGCGCGCGAATTTTAAATGAGAATTTCCGAAAACTTTTCAGTCTTAATGTATACCATACATTTATCGACTCCATACTCAAGCCTATATACAATGTTGCCATACTAAATAATACAAGTTCAGGAGATGATTTCTTGAACTGAAGTTAATGCGGATAACAGTTGTAGAAACTATTTCCTCAACAGCTCACAGACATAGATCCAAGATACATATCATCAAGATACATATTATTTATCCATATCCATCGTTAGTGTACCTTCTGCTCAAAAAATACTCGGATTTTGTACATAAAACACACACATTTAATTTTATTCCAAATTTATTTTATCTTCTTCAAATCTCCCTCAATCTGAAGCGATACATACCTATATGCCAACGCTTAACCAAATCTTCCATACACTTTTCGTAGACCCGTGAAGGTATGGCTTTTAGTTCCTTCTGCGAATTCTATTTTACCGATTCAATCAACTAAAAACGCTTACCACAATGGGGCAATTTGAGTTTCGGGAACAGGAAAAAGTCGCACGGATCCAGATCTGGCGAATATGGTGCCTGAGCGATGACAGTGGTGCCGTGTTCTGTCAAAAAATCGCGTACAACAAGAATTTTCCATAGTAAAAATCGCTAAATGCACTTGAGGTAGTCTCACATTAACAGCTGCTATAAACAAACTAATTGACAGATGGCGCTCAAATTTGTACCATATGTCAAGAAAGGGTGTGAAATTTTTAAAAAAGGTCTATTACTTAAGGAGTAGTTAACAAACAACAAATATTTTTTGAGCAGAAGGTATAAAACGTTCTTTCATACGATATACAAATTTGGTGTTCTATCCTAGTATGTGTAGGCGTGCCACAGTAAAACTGACATTCAAACAAAAATATCTGAGTATAATCAAACAAAACTTTGCAGATGATTCCTGCTGTCAGATCTCTAATTTGAACTAGTGTAGATTAGACAAAAAAACGTATCAGCGTTACTTCAACAAAGTAAAACCTCCTATGCACTATGGTATCGGTGTTGACGGGTCACTGTATAAGAAATAGGTATGATATGAGACTGGGTTTACCCTATAATGACTTTTTTTGTGGTTCTGGCTCTGAGGAGGAGGATGAAACTATGCTTCATCTCAGAAGTCATCTTTAGCTAGGAGAAAATCAACTCCTATTCTAGCCGACCTGACCGCGCTGTCATCTTGCAAAATAATAGACTTATCCAAGTTTATATAATTGTTAGTTAGGTTGATCTTCACCTAATGGGGGGTATTGTTGCCTTTATCGGCGATTAGTCGTATACTGTCGTTTAGTCTATGTATAAACAAACGAATATTCTGTGGTACTACAACTGGCCATTATTTGGGCCTTCTTGGGTACAAGAAGGTACAGTATGTGTAGGTTTCAATTTTAGTTATTAAAATTTTTTTTTTTGCAGTCAGTATTTAATTGACTGCATTTATCTTACAACTTTTGTAAAAAATTATAAAAACTGTTGTATGTGTTAAGTTTTATTATATTATATATTATAATAATGTTTTATTTATTATTATTACTTTATTTAATATTGTTTTTTTATTAATTACTATTATATTGAAAAATTTTCTATGAAATAGGTTCCAACTCTAATTATCGTTTTATTCTGATTTTATATTAATTTTTCGATAATAGCTCTTTAAATAATGCAACTTTCAGCTTTTCTAATAAACTCCATGTGGAAAATAAGTACTCATACGGTTTGAATCAACAGACCTTCAAGAATATCAGAACTTTTAATTTCACTTAACAGGTTGTTAATTAAACAGTTGGTTTGATTTATTCAAACACCTCTTTCAATTTGTTCTAAGTAACCAATATTAACCAGTTGTTGGTTTGGACTTCCGAGGAGCTGCACATTTTTTAATCGTTAGGAGAGATTAAACTTAGGAGAGATTTTTAAATGATTCTTTTAGGATTAAGTGGTCTAAAACATCATGCCATAGTTAATTTGATATTGTCAAAAAAATATAATATCCCAGAAATATAATATCCCAAAAATATAATATCCCAAAAATATAATATCCCAAAAATATATTGTTCTACTTATTTTAATCAACAATATAATTAATTATTATGTAAAATTTTTTGCAATCCATCCTTTTCCTTAATAATTTTGAAGGTTCTTCAACTGTATCGGTTTTATAATTTCTTCTTACATATGACTTATGACGTTAAACACATTAAAATAAATTTACCTTTTTCAAATATATATATAGATATAAATATATATTTATATAGATTTTCTGCTTACATTCTTTAAAATAGTGCTAAAAGCGAGCATCAGAATGCAATATCACTAAAAAGTTTAAATGTTTCGTACATAAGAGGTTAAATAATTTTGATGATAATTTGTATGTAATTTTCATATAAAAATTTATGGCTATTTATTTATATATTATCACTATTAAAATAATTTTTTAAAAAAAACTTAAAGTGGTCATATTTAAGATTGAGTATAAATGGTAATACTGTAATATATTTGCAAATTTCCTAATTTTCACCAATTTTCTAAGGTTTAAACCACTCACGTATTAGGTGTAATTATACCTCGCAGATACAAAATATCTTTCACACACAAGTATTTGTGATAATTGAAATAATTATAAATAGAATATTAAGTAATGTTTTTTCTTATTAATGAAATAGAAAGTTATGCATACCGGAATGTATTATAAAACTATTAAATGGATCTACATAAAAAGGGCCCGATTTTCCCTTAATTTTTGAATTTGTCTATAAAATTTTCAATCTATTTTTTGCACCAAATAAGGCAAAAATATATCGTTAGCAAGTTTTGTCTAAAAATACCCCAGCGAAGCATCCAATATGAACTCAAAGTAAGTTCCAAAAGGTGTTACAAGCTTTACTAAATCTTTCACCAAAGCAACAAAATGTTGGACTCGATAGAGCAAAAAAGTTGGCGAAACTTGACTAATTTCCAAACATTGTGTTCTCTGATAAGAAAAATTTCCCCATTAAACAGTTCATAAACTCTTAAAATGATCGTGTTTACTTACATTAAGACTGAAAAGTTTTCGGAAATTCTCATTTAAAATTCGCGCGCTGTATATTTTTCGATATTTTAAGTTTATGTAGTTTGGCAGCACTGTCCTTAATTACTATGCCAAAAATGAGCGCGATCTGTCAGACAGTTCGTTTACGGCAGCTGTTGAAACCAGTTCCCCTCAGTAGTGCGTTGCGAAATGTCTTCGACGGTCGTACGACCGTCCTGAAAGGCTTTGTACCACTCATAAACTTGAGTTTTCGATAAAACTGATTCCCCATAAGCCTTTTGTAGCATTCGCAACGATTCTGCACACGAAATTTCGTTCGAAACACAAAATTTGATGCAAACTCTTTGTCCAATATTTTTTTCCATTGTTTTTTTCGCAACGCACTACTGAGGTGAACTGGTTTCAACAGCTGCCGTAAACGAACTGTCTGACAGATCGCGCTCATTTTGGCATAGTTATTGTCCTTAATTGCTGCCAAACTACATAAACTTAAAATATCGAAAAATATACAGCGCGCGAATTTTAAATGAGAATTTCCGAAAACTTTTCGGTCTTAATGTAACTGAAGGCACTACCGTTAATTTGAAGACTACCTGAAGTACATCCGAAGTAATTTTCCATCTCAAATAATAGTTTGGGCAGCTGTGACCGCCGATAGACGCTGTCCAATTGTTAAGGCCTGGGGTCAAAATCAATACGATTTTTTAAATGTTTGAAAATTGCTTTAGAGCTGTAGACACGCAAAGATTTCTGTCATAGACCATGGACGTTCTAGCAAGACTCGAAACCATCTCATAAAGCTTGTGTGAACCAAGTATGGTAAAAAAATCATATTCCAAACTTCATTTCGTCCATACCATGGCTTTCGAATTTGCCAGATGCAAATCCCTGCAAATTTGATCACCCCTTTTTATACTTAAAAACTGTACAGTAATTGTTATTTGATAAAATTAATTACATAAAAATGAATTTTGTTAACATTCAAAACAAGACTTTTAATAAAAAATTTAATACTTGTATTATTTATTATAATAATAATTACAATATATTTTAACAATAAATACTCTCATGGTACATACTCATAAATTATTTTTAATTGCTTCAAGTATTGGATAAGATTTGCCAGTACATAATCCTCTGAAATCATCATGACCCAATTCAAATAAAGCCACCCCACCTAATTTAATATCTCTGGCATAATTTGCCTTAATTCCAGCTTGCCTAGGTGTATCATAACTGACCCACAGTCCTAACTGATCACTATCATCAGGCAATCGTACTGCATAGTTACCAAATTTGTCATTAGAAATTATGTGCCATCTGCTATTTGGAGATTCTCGTGTTATATTTGTCGATTGTTCCAGCACATGATCAGATAATTTAGTGCATGTTTCAGTCCAACTTAGCAGTCCTGCAGTTTGTGATAAAAGATCTGGTTCAGCTGGACCACCAGTATTACGCACCAACGGTTCAGTTTTATTACATGATTTTGTTGTTAGTTTCCAAGCTCGTCCATAGCTTGCAATCCCCAAGTTAAGTTTTTGAGCTGGACAACCTTCTCCAAGCCAATAATTAATTTGAAACTCTATGTTGGAGTAAGGCAAGCGGTATTCGCCACCCGGTGCGTATATCGGTGCTGTATAATCAGCATCAGTTGGATTACGTGACGGAGTTAGAAAGTCAAAAGTTGCCACATTTATGAACGTGAACATTTTCTCGAGTTTCGTTACATTAAAATACCCTAAAAGTTTTAAGAAACTAAATTATTTAAATAAAATTAAAATTAAACAAAATTTTGCTAAAACTTACAGCTTGCATTCACGTTCGGTAATACTGTTAAGGACAATGAAAGATCATCGTCTAAAAATGCACTCTTGATGTCTTGAACAAAGTTTGTAAATTGTTTTTTATGTTCATCTGCGTTTTTATCAACAATCGAGTAATCAGATGACAACTTCATTTTTACGCTTTCGACAAAACTGGCAAGTGCTCCATGAGTTTTGAGTGGTTTGTTACGTGGGAATTGGAAAGCCAAGTCAAGACCATCGAAATTATTTCGTTTCAGCCACGATTTGGCGCTTGTAATAAATGTACCTTGACCGGTTTTTCCACTCTCTAATAACCTTAAATACTTCTCTGGATTAGACACGTCTTCATCTTTGTCACCACCAACGCTTAGATACACCTTCAGTTGAGGATACTTGTTTTTAAGCGAAGTTACTTCAGCTTGGTGGAAAGCTCCCAAATCAACGCTAAAGCTGTACAACTCATATGTGATGGGATTAAGACCAACATATCCGTAAATAAGATGTGTACAGTATTGCAAAGCAGTGTCCAGATGACTTGGAAGAAATCGGGCCAGTCCTAATCAAAATATTTACCATTAAGTTTGTAATTATACTTTTTTTTTAATAAAATAAGTATTTCATTTGTCTTTCCATGCTGAGTATGTTAAGAAGTTATCACCTGTTTTGACGTAAGTTGCTGAATCATAGAAGCAGACTATATTCTTTCCAAATGCCAGACTTTGTAGTGCACAAAATAACAACACAAATATTTGGAACTTCATAGCTTTAGTTTTTTGCTTAAACGATTTAATATTGTGCCGATTTCTTAAAACAGTTTAATAAACCGAGCGTTCGCTGTGAGCTCGATTCTTCAACTGAGTCTACAGATCAACATTTCTAAGTAAACCGTTTCTTTTGAGCTAAATTATAAGCCTTAACTTAGATTTTTTCATTAAAATTGGGTTTTTTCTCATTCTATTAATATTCATAGCTCATATCTTTATTTATTTTATTTTCACAGCTTCAAACCACTGCAACTTGACACACTCGTCACATCTAAAATTCTGCTTAATCCATACGTCATAAGACTATGTGTACGAACTCAAATTTATAAAATTAATAAAAGTCCATAAAAAAGTCGTGACAATTGAAAATTTTTAAGTGTGTTAAAATGTATTTCTAGAGAAACTCAAACAAAAAAACCCCATAACGCCTAATTATGAACAAATGAAGTTGACTTTTGTAAATGCTTACTTTATAAAGTAATATAATATATATATATATATATACATATCTTTATCGCTAATATTTTAAGTAAATTAAAAAAAATAATATGCAAATATTTTTAGCTTAAAAATATGTTTTTTGTCCAGCAGCTATTTTAAGGTCGAATATAACAAGATATAATTAAAATTACAGAAATATATTTATTTACATTAAATATACACTTACAATAGTGTCCTCCCAAAACGTTGATGGTAGAGTCACCCGTAATGATAAAGAATATACGTAATTTATATATGTATGTGGGCCTTCAGACTCACAATAGCTCTTTAAGGTCGGGGTGCATTCATAGCCTGTTATTTAATAAAAACAATTATGCCAACAAAAAAAAATATCAAGCATCTGCATAATATTAATATATATATGATATATAAACAAACGTCTAAAATTTTATATATGTAAAATTTGACTCATGAGATGTAATTGCAAGGCACCTTCATTGTTATAGAATTGAATGTATGGTACCAATAATGAAATCTGAACAATCCTTGTGTTGGTACTATCATTCGATTTTATTTGAGTATGCATTATAGTCATATGAAGTGGAATAAAGTAGTACAAATGGAGTCAAATTTGATCAAATATAAAAATATAGAAAATGAAAATTAGAAAATATGTATTGCTCAGACTAGCAATATATAAACTGAAGCCAGTTAAAATGCTAATGCATACACCATATTACTTCTTTCAAAAATAATATTATAATGTCTATTTTTTAATTAGATAACTTTTTTTATATTTTTCGAAAATCTACTTCAATTAGATTTTATTTATCAAGAAATGTTTGCTAACCTTTATTAAGTACCAGTTTTTATTACTGTTAATATTTTAATGGCAGTCTCAAATAGACAAAGAATTGAAGCTCACATAGGTGTGAAGGCCAATATTCAATTTGGATAGTTGCTCCACTAACGTTCGTAATGACACTACTAGAATCTTATTCCATCACTTCTAGAAACCATTTGGTGTCAACCATTTGGTTAGTTCTTTTATCTCTGATAAGAGTTTGAGGGTATAAATATAAACCCAACTCAGATAAATTATGTATGTTTAGGACAATACTGCCGTTGAGCTTATTTCTACATTTGTGAGGTGATGTGATATCAACTTTGTTTTTAATAGAAATATAAGTATCGATATATATCGTCGCATCACAGTTTATCATAATAGTTGCCCCAATATAATAGGTGAACCTTACTTTAGTTTGAAAAATGTTATTATAATGCTGAAATATCTGGTAAAAATAGATTGACCTGTGTCTATTCGCACTATGATGCTCTAATTAAGTCTATGAAAACTATAGTTTTTTAATAAGAGAGCTGTGGTTGGAATAATGCAATAAATAGTCTTAAATAGTCTAGTAAGTTGCATATACATCTAAGTAACTGTAGGTATGAATATAATTATTAAACAAAAAAAAAAAAATATGATTATTAAAAGATATTATTATTATCTTGTAGATTTGTTTTTATTGCATCATATATTTGTTTTTTAAAATAAAACCGGTAATAAGTTCTCGATTTTTAAAATTCTTCATATTGGACTTCCACAGTGGTCAATTCTAAAGATAAATGTTAATTTATAGATTATTAATGTATGTTCAAAATAGCATGCTACTTAATGTCAATTAAGGCATTATGATTCTCCTACGAGTTAAAGGATTTAATTTATTTTTATATGTATATAATGCCAATAAAATAATTATTTTGCCAATTAGTAGATTAAAAATAAATGTCAACGGTTTGCCTCAGGTGTCTAATGGCCAGTTATCGAATACAGCACTTCTGTTAAATGCTTAGGTTTTTACGTATAACACTTACTTACATGCTTATGATCACGTATATGAAATAGTTAGGAAAGTATTCGTATGCCTTAGATGCCTTAATCTATCAGTGAAATGTACCTTTGTTGTTACTCTCTAAATAATAATGTTGTTATAATAAATTATAATAAAAAAAGTTCACTATTTTAATCACTCTTGGATCAGTCTTGTATATTCGAACTAAGTTTGTTTATTGCTTTTATTTTATTCTTAGGTTAGGTCAGATTATACGGGCGATCCGAAGGATTCAATTAGGCATATTGGCCCATAGTGTTACAAGGTTACGCTTTTTTATAAAGTATTGGAGAAAGTTTTCAACTTCTTCTCCCCCTCACTAGGACAGCGCAACACATGATGGATGTCGCAGTGGCTTTAAAATGTTGGAACTTTGTTCTGAATGACAATTCTTTAGTTGCATATCTTGTGCTTCAAATTTCTAGAACATTTAAAATTGTTGCAGACCTTTATTCCTAGATATTGCCAGATCCCTTAACTGGACTTAAAATCAGTTACTTTTTTGCATAATCGTTATATCTAACTCAAGTAAACCGTTATTTAATTTAAAGCTTCCGCATATTCAGATATCATCACGAGCAGTTAATATGATGTGTAGATTAAATCGAATTTCAGGAAATCGTAAACAGAATATGAAATGAAAAAAATATATGCCAACCACAAAGCCTGTATTGATTTTCAAATTACAATAACAAGGCCAATGATGCAAGTGTAAGGTTTCCATTTCTTCAATCTGTCAATTTCTCAATTCTTCTCCATGCTTTTAATTTTTATTGGCTGCAAGAGGTTGACAGTTGGAACCGCAATCAATAAACTAAAGGCGCTTCGAATTGCTAAGGACATAAGTGACACTTGACCAGACACAATAACAATGAAGTGAGGGTAATACACACAACAACAACAACAAATAATACTCAGTAACAACAAAAAAACATAAAATCAGGAATCTTATACTATAAAGTCAATTTTAGAAGCGAGGTATGCAAATATAAACAACAAATAAAGTCAAAATGTAGTGGATGCATGCGAAGGAGCTGAGGAAGAAACTCAAGAAAAAGAAGAAGAAAAAAACTAATTTGAGGTAATATGACCACTTTTAAGGCGATTGTGGAGTCAAATTGAGCAGAAAACCATGGGGCGCCAGTATGTAGTGTGTGGATTTTTAAGCTTGTGCTTTTCGTTTTGCACTTTTCGCATTACATATGTGAGCACAAGAACACAGAAACACATACACGCACAAACTTGAGCGTACGTATGTATGTGTTCATGCATGTATTTTGACACTTGCTGCTCGCAAACAACAGTTATTTGGACATTAAGAATATGAGTAGCAAAATGAAGGTCACAAGCAATGAAAGGGTAAAAAAATGTATGATAAACAATAAAACTAATAGGAGTAAAGAACACAATTAAAAAAAAACCACTTATGTGAGAGTCAATTGACATGTGTGGCTTGGCGCCAGTGCCTAGCAGTTTCCTGCATTTTTAGTCATTGATTTCTGGTATTAAGCATTCATCATATTCGAATTTTAATTAGTGTGAAATGCGTTATGTAGGACAAAAATGACTTGAAAGAGATTAGAGGAGACATCCTGAACTTTGGCAAGCCAAGCACGTGGAAATAAAAACGTTTTTCTTTCAAATTTAAGATAAATAACTTCACACACATTTACATATATAATATAAAGATTTATAATAAATATAATATTTTGATATATACTATTGTTATTATATCAATATTATATTAAGTTAGACTATGGAGACTTCAAGTTGGAGAATTTTTTTTTTTGTTTTTGAAAGAAACTAAAATTACATTTTAAAAAAATTTTTATTTATTTTTAATCAAATACAACATAGAAGTTATAGTGAAGTAAAATACTACCAAATACAATAGATTCTATTAAGTAAACTAGTCATTTTCGTCATAACTGACGTTAAATTACAACTAAAAAACTAATTTATAGCAGATGCTACCCACTATCGAATACGTCTCATATTCATAAATGAAAAAACGAATATTAAGAGCTAATACTTTCTTGAATTTGTGATTAGAAACTATTTATAAGTATCTACAGGACTACAAACTGCTCTAATAAATTCAGAAAATATTCTTATGTCAAGAAAGTAAGTATCGTTTTGTTTTTAGTTGGACTTGAAACTTTTGAGTTGGAAAACAGTTAGCTGTCATACTGAAACTGTATGGCTTTTTATCTTCTCCAATAAAAACTCAACAAAATTTTGTCGAAATAGCATAATAAAAGTTTATTCAAAGTAAACCCATTCCATATGGTTTTAAATCCACGAAGGATACATAATTCTGTTTAATTGATAATTCAGTTTAATCGATAAATCATTGCTTCACGAGTCACTTAGATTGTACGAATACAGAAGTTCTTGTCTTTCTTTTTATTTTCCATGTTCCTACTGTTAAATCATTGTCTTTTGGATGTTATCGAACTTGATCTCTTAAAGGTTTTTCCTAGAATCTCCTAGAGGTTGTACAGCAAATCATCCTTAATAAAATTTTAGAATCAGCTTATCTCGTGTAGATAATTATATTTGTAGAACACTGTGCAGAAGATATAAATAAAGATATTCTGCCACTTTTCTATTTCGTCAAAAATTTTCGAAAAAATATTTAAGAACCAAGTAAATTGATGTCATATATTGATAATTAAATGTTGTTATCTGCAGTGAAAGTTATAGCCTCCACACATATTAGGGGAAGAGAGAAGTACTGT